TTTGGGATAAAACTTCCCAGAATGGTCAGAAGCATGGATGCTCCCAAGATCATTGGTTATTTTGTACTTCAGAAAATGTATTTCATGCAACCCTAAAAACTGGTGCAAGCATCCCAAACACTGCTAAAGCAAAACTTTGGCTCATTGCAATATCCTGGTACAGATTCAATATCCTCAACAGCTCTATTGAAAATTGAATATGATTGGGGTGTAGGCCTGTGGTTTGAGGACCAGCTGGAGAGATGTCAGAAGCAAAACACCAACCATGAATGATGGTAAGAAATGCTACTTTCAAACCATGAATGGAGGGAGATAAGGGAGCTACCTTCGATCTCGTGCTCCCACCTGCAGCACTGACCTGAAAACACAGTAAACAGCACAATCTGAAAATGTCAAGAGAGGTCACAGAAACAGCTCTGAAATCTTAAATGATGAGCTGGAGATGAAACAGGATTCAACCAAGCAGGAGATCAGGAATGCTAGAGACAGACATAAGTCCTACAGACTACAAAAAAACCCCACAGCTGTATAGACTTGTTCTTTCTGCCTCCAATAGCAACAGAGAAAGTCCCTTCTGTGGTAAGGTATAAGTGCAGTCCTGGGGAAAATGACGTGGCACAATCCTCACCATGCAGGATGGGGCACTTTGTCCACATCCACATCCCAGTATTGCTCAACTCTGACTCTCAGGCAACACACATGGCACACGTTTGGTGATATCACCTAAGCACTGGTTTCTGTCACATGGTCTCATGCTTTTCCAGGTAAAATGAAGTGTTTGAGTCAAAGGAGTGATGCTGTGCTGACCACTCACACACCCTCTCCTCCATACCCACGACCTGGGAGAGACAATGTACTTCAGGAGCAAATGTGTGACTGTAAGGGTGACTTCTCCTCAGCTCCTAGGGGCCAGTCATTTTATGGTATAAAGGAGGAAATCAGGTTTGATTCAAGACGCTTCTGCACTGGAAATAAGCACAGGCTTGAATGATACTGAACTACTTGCACTTGTCCTTATTTTCTTCCCATGAACAATATACTGCAGGCAGCACAAGGACTTGGAGCCTCTTTTGGGTGCAACCGCTCCCCTTTGTCACATCTGGCTGCTCCCAAACCCCTTATCTTCCTCCAAACTCCCCATCATCCTTGCCATTTCCCAGGTTTAAGATACAGTCATGCTGCTGGCTAAAGAGTAGTCTAAGAAAACAAGCCTAAACAAGCGAAGCTTCTGGGCAGGACAGCAGCAATGGAAGGAGCGGGGCTCAGCCAGGCTGACCCAGAGCCTTGCAGCAGATGTGACAGCAAGCCCAGCGTCACCACCCAGCCGGCTGTTCCCATGGCTACACGGGAAGATAAATTGAGTTCAAGGAACCTCGTGTCGCTACATTATTTAACAAACAGACAGTCACGCTCACAGGCAGGGACCCAGTTTAGCAGATGCGTGGGCTGATCAGGCCGATGGATGCCTGAGTGCCTCACAGGGCTCAAATCCTCAAGCCCAGCACCACGGTGCTCTAGCCTGAGCCAGGCAGGGTGTTAGCCACAAGGAGAGTCCAGCATAGCCACAGAAGAGCCTGCAAGACCACAGCTGTTTGTCCACAAACACAACCAGGCCTTGAACCTGACAGAGTCCTGGATACCTGACCCATTTATGGAATGTGATAAATGTGATTCGTGCTAACTAAATTGTAGCTATGTTAGCAAAATTGTACTCAAATCAATAGAAAATAATTGTTACAAAGCAGTTGTTTGGTAAATTGGACAAATAGAACGTCATTCATAACATGGAACAATCCAAAGACTGATTCAGGAAAGGAAAGGCCACTCCACCTGCAAGTCCGTGTTCTCAAATTCAGCACTGGGCAAAGAGGAAAGGAATGTGGGCACAAAGAAAAGCATAGGAGGAAAAAAGAGTGTGGAGGAGTTATAGGGGTGTTGGGAGAGATGAACAGGCTTTGAGGGCAAAGGTGTTGATTGAACTCGAAAGTGCTGCAGAGTTTATGTTTGGAAAAGGTGGTTCAGCATGGCAGCAGTGAGGAGAAACAAGAGGGATCTGGGGGGAAGCTGAGGCAGGGAAAACAGGAGCAACAGGAGGTGCTTGGCCCCATGACTGCCTGAGCAGCGAGGGATGAGCAGGACTATTCTCACCACTCGGTGTTTTCAGTGCTGGTGTAACCCAGGGCCTTTCCCCTTTCCCAAAATCCCACAAGGAGGAGCAGAAGGTAACCCAGATCGGTCTGATTCACCAACCAGCTGCAGAGGGCCCCGATTCTGTGATTCTGTGAGATGCCAAGGTCCACTGGGCTGAGCTCGGGACCATTCCCTGGGCAGGCAGTGGGGACATGTATGGGACACAGCCAGGCCAGCAGTGCCACCGTGTGGGAGCAGGTCACCTCCTTCTGCCGGGACACGGGCACCAAGGGCTCCTGGAGCATGAAACAGAGCTGTTGGAAACACAAACACACATACATACATATATAAACAAACTCAACTCTATCCCTCCTCCCCCTATCTCGAAACTTAAAAAGAATGAAAGACTTATCCAGAGAAATTTTCTCAGCCAGAAATCTGCTCCTTGCTGGAAGCCAAAAGATTGTGTTGTCTCTCAAGTGTTTTTCAATAATGCCCAGAAAAATAACTCTCTTTTGCCAGGCATTGAAGTGAGACTGACAGGGCTGTAATTACCAGGGTCTTCCTTCTTGCCTGTCTTGAAAACAAGGACTTTGGCCGTCTTCCAGTCTGCGGGGACTCCTCCAGGCCCCAAGGCTTAAAAAATAATGGAGAGAGATCCTGAGATGACAGGGCCAGCATTTCCAGTACCCTGGGATGAGCCCCATCGCACCCTATAGATTTATGTGCATCCACCTGGAGCAGCAAAACTCAAACAAGTTCAGTTTTGGCTGCGAGTTTATTACAGTCCAACACAGAGCTCCGGGGGTCCCAGGGCCCAACACTGATGTTAATGACAGAGGGGAAGAAGGCATTAAACATCTCTGCTTTGTCCATGTCCCTATCTGTGAGGTGTCTGACCTCGTCAAGTGCGGATCGATGTTATCTCTGATTCACCTTTTGCTGTTAACATGTTTTAACAAATCCTTTCTGCTGTCCTTTACAGTGCTGGCAAGCTTGAATTTTAATCAAGCTCTGGCCACATTAATTTTCTCCCTGCAATGGTGAATAGTATCTCCCTAATTTTCCTGTGTATCCTGTCCTTGAGTCCAATGTCCATACACTGAGTCTTCTGTTCCCCTCAGAAATTAGTCCCTATGACAATAACCTGTCTTTTTTATCTCCACGGGAATTATTTGATATGGAATGCAGGTCAACTTGACCTTGTTGATACCTCCAACCTCAATTGAGCATAGTCCTCAGCACTGGTTCTACTTGCAGAACCTGGTATCTTTGACCCAAGAGCACTTGAGAAGGTGGAGAAAACCCAGACAAGTACACAGAGAAATGCAGTGTAACCCTCGTGTGCAGCACAGACCACCAGGAACAGCTGATTCCAAGGGAAGGCACCAGCACAGTCAGCAGTTACATGGAAGCAGTGTTAGGAGAAGCTCTGTCTAGGCACCACTGTACATTTCTCTTGGTGTCCTGAAGCACAAAGTAAAAATCCAGCATGTAGGGGTTTAAAGCAGAAATGTAACTATCATTTTTCTGGCAGCCACAAGTACTGCACAGGTGTTTTCACTGAACTGTCCAACACATTCTTAGGTCTCCATCCTCAGATAATGCTGCCAATTTTGACGTTGCTTCCTTCTCTATTGAAAAGTGCCTTTATTATCTAGTTTCTAGGTTATAAAAACTTACTTCTTGGCCTCCAGAGCCAGCTGATTTCCTTTCTACTTACTGATAAAGGCTATCTTATCTGTCTTTATGGAATGCTGAATTTCAACAGTTAACAGCCATCGAGCCATATGAACTGGTTGCACCCAGGAATTTGTTGATCAGAGAAAAGAATTTTTCTTCAGTAACATCCAGATAACTGCCAAACTTTAGCAGTTCTTTCCACTTAACATTTGAGCTGAAATTTTTGGTAAGGCAGTAGAGCTTCTTGTTCTGCAACAAGTCAGGAATTCTCGACAACAAATTTATTTTTCTATTAGTAGTTTTCCCATTGGAATGTAAGTCAATCAGCATATTTAACTAAAACCCACACAATTCTCCAGAAATGATCTAATTTAAATGGACATATTCCTCTAGAATGAAAGGCTGTTATATTAAACAGGAAAAAAGAGGTCAGGCAGTGATCAAAGAAAGTAGGCACTGGAAAAAAAGTTCCTATTTTAATATCGCCGGTTTGAATGAGACCTGTATTGACAGGGACGTATCCCTTATCCTGCACCCTCGGCTAAGTGGCCGCTGGGGCACCCCTGGCCCGGTGCTACTTGACCACGCACCCCCGGCCCGGTGTCCCCTGTCCGGCACCCCCGGCCCGGTGTCTCCTGTCCCGCACCCCCGGACCGGTGTCCCCTGTCCCGCAGCCCCGGACCGGTGCCTCTTGTCCCGCAAGCCGGCCCGGTGTTCCGGTCTCGCACCGCTGTCCCGCACCTCGGCCCGTATCCCCTGTCCCGCTCCCCAGGACCGGTGTCCACGGTTCCGCATTCCTGTCCCGCACCCCTAGGCGGTGTCTCCTGTCCCGCAACCCGGCCCGGTGTCGGCCGTCCCGTACCCTGGTCCCACACTCCTGTCCCAAACCCGGGCCCGGTGTCCCCTATCCCGAACCCCTGTCCCGAACCCCGGCCCGGTGCCCCCGGTCCCGCACCCCGGCCCCGCAGCCGCGTCCTCCGTCCCCACAGCAACGCGAACACGCCCCGCCCCTCACGCCCCAGAGCCAATCGAAGCCGCGGAGCCGCGAGTGGCGGCCACGCTGACCAATGGGTGCCGAGGGCGGGAAGGCGCGCGGCGAGGCGGGGCGCGGTGACGCCATCGCGCCGCGCGCGGTCGCCGAGCCGCCGCCGCGCCTGCCGGAGCTCGGCCCGCGCCGCCGCCGCGCCATGAACCAGTTCAGCTTCGGGGCGGCCGCGCCCGGCGGCGCCTTCAACCTGGGCGCGCCCCGAGCCGCCGCCGCCACCACCGCGGCCACCAGCAGCTTCTCCTTCTCCGCGCCCGCGCCCGCCGCCGCCTCCAGCGGCTTCAGCTTCGGCAGCGCGGCGCCGGCGGCGGGCGGCAGCCAGCCCGCCGGGCTCTTCTCCTTCAGCAAGCCGGGCACGGCCGCACAGCCCTCCGGCTTCAGCTTCGGCTCGGCCAGCGCGGCCCCCGCGGCCCCGGCGGCCGCCGCCTTCCCGCTGGGGTGAGACCCGGGGCCGGCCGGGGGCGCGGGCAGCGGGAGAGAGCGAGGAGGGAGCGGGGGAGGCTCCTCTGGGTGCTGGGCGAGGGCTCGGGGGGATTCTGCAGCGAGCGAGCCTCCCTCTTGTCCTGGGGCTTCCCAGCGCCCTGCAGTGATCGCCTCGTTGGGCAAGTGCTCAGCGAGCCCTGGCACCTGTCCCGGCTGATGTTTTCATGGGGGAGCTCTTACACGTGCTGGGAAGGAGATGTTCCACGTTTCCGTCTCGAAATGGGGTGGAGACGCGTGTACAAGGAAATCCTAAAGCTCTGCTACCAGATATAAAACGTCTTGTTTTCTCTGACCCGAATCTGGAGTGCTATGAATGTTTTCTCGGCACTTTGAGAGTGATTTGTCGTTATGGAAAGGCTGCGAGTTCTGGAGTGGTTCTGCAGAACTGCTGCTGTCAAAATTTGCCAGATGGGAGCTGTGGGAAGGGAGCTCAAATGGGGACGAGCAGAAAAAAACCCAGCCTTGTGTAGAGGGAGTGAAAATGGTGAGCTGAGAGAAGGAGCAGCTTGATATATACTGCCATAAAATGTCCTGTGGTGGCCGAGTGGGTGGAGGTAATGAAGGGGGAGTCTGTAGAAAGAGCCCTAATGGGGGATGGCAGGTGACAGCAGCTGGATAGAGTCTGTCGTCAGAATTGGGACACGAGCCTGGCCAGGTGTGCATCTCTTTGAAAGGAGATTTCTGCTGTCAGCAGAAGGAAGGAGTGGTCATTGAGAAAGCCAACAGTGTACTTGAGCGGATGTGTGTCTCAAGCAGGTTGGCTTCTTTTCTTCTCTAGGGCAAACACCCCAAAAGTGAGCTTTGGAGCCAGCACTGCCACTTCAACTCCTGGAATCACGGGAGGCTTTTCTTTTGGTGCCCCTGCCGCAACCAGCACACCCTCGAGTCAGGCAGCAGCCCCGTCTGGCTTTACCTTTGGCTCTGCTGGCACCAGCACCACCAGCACGGCTCCGTCTGGGACGACAGGAGGCTTCACCTTCTCCAGTGGCACCACGACTCAGGCGGGAACAGCCGGCTTCGGCATCGGCACCGCGGCTCCGCAGGCGACGTCCGCAGGGCTGACCTTTGGCACGGCCCCTGCGGCTGCTGCCACCACCAGCACGGCCACCCTGGGAGCTGCCACCCCGGCAGCAGCGCCCTTCAGCCTTGGGGGACAGCCCACAGGTGGGGGCACAGGCTTGGGGGGGCAGCTGGAGGCTGGGAGCCTTTGGCATGGGAATATCAGAGGGTGGAGTGCAGCTCTGCAGCCTCTGGCCTCTGCTGGGGCAGAATGGAGCCAGGGGCTGGAGCCAGGGGTGTTTCTGATATTTCTGTCCAGGGTGTGCAGTGGTGAGGAGCAATTGCTCTTTAGCCTGTAGGAAGAAAGTCCATCTTTTCCTTTTGTTCCTGGTTCCAGGTCTAACCTTTGCGGCACTGCCTTCAACAGCAGCCACCAGTACAACCACGGCCACGCTGACCACGAGTACCAGCCAGGCACCCACCCTGTCCTTTGGAACCAAGCTTGGAGGTAGGAAGCTGTTCTAGAAAACAGTTCATCAAGGCTTTGTGAAATCTGCTGTCCTCCTGGCAATATTTGTGTATTGGAGGTAGACAAATATTTTATACTGGGGTGTGGGAATGGGCCAGAAGCGTTTGTTCCTGTCAGTTTGCTCTGGCAGTGGTGATCTATGACAGCTCCTAGAGCCACTGGACAGCGTGTCCTGTGTTTCTGATTGTGTCTCACATGATAGATTCTGTTCTGTGCTTGTTTGGGGAGCACAGTGGAAGGGAGGCACAATCTTAAAGGGCACATTGTGAAAGAGAGGGAGTGGAGGGAGAATAAGAGGAGAAGGAGGTTAAAAGGCTGACATCCCAAGACCCAGGTGTGGCTGGGCAGTTTGTGTCACCCTCCCACCAGGGTTGTTGTGCAGTGGGTGGGAGCTCAGCGTGCTCTGCTTGTACACATGGAGCTGTTTGTCTCTGCAGTCGCATCCACAGCTGCCACCACAGCCTCCACCACCAGCACCACCTCAGTGCTGGGCTCCACGGGGCCCTCTTTGTTTGCGTCTGTGGCCACTTCTTCAGCCTCCACCTCCACCTCCACCACCACCACGGGCCTCTCACGTGAGTCTCTCAGGTCTCAAACCTCTCAGGCAGGTTTGCCCTTGGGGCAGTAAAGGAGCAGCCTGGCTGCTGCTGCTCCCTGTGGGTGCTGGAGCTGCTGCTCCTGCAGTGGGTGCAGGCTGGGCTCGGCTTCTCCAAGGGGCCCTGCATGTCATGGCTTAGGCAACCGGATAATGGTGTCTTCTCTTTACAGTTGGTGCCACTTCCACTGGTTCCACCGGGACAGCCCCTCTGGGGACACTTGGCTTTGGATTGAAAGTTCCTGGAACAACAGCTGCCACAACAAGCACAGCCACTGGTAGGAGTGAGATGCTGCAAGTCACTGAAGAGAAGGGAGCCTGAATTCAGTGCTCTGTAGAAGTGTAAAGGGCCATGTGAGAGTAGAGGCACAGCAGCTACGATTTGGAAAGCGCTGGAGTAACTGAAAACAGCAGAGTTTGTCTTTCTGTGATCCTTGTCCATCTCTTTGTGAAAACATGGAAGTTCTCTCATCTGCTGTAAAGGTGCAGGGGTGGAACTGGGTGTGCTGGTAGTTATTAGGTCTAATAGTAAAACATGAGGTTGTTGACAAGAGTGTGGACTAGGGATGTTTTCATTCTCTCCATGACAGATGTGGGATTTGCTGTTGCTCCCTTCAGAGGGTTCTGCTGCAGCTCCTAAAGCCATGTGCAGTGCACACTGGACCTGTTCTCTGTTTGTGAGCTACCAGGTGTGTCCTCTTCTGTTGCTTGACTTGAATCTCCTCCTGCAGGGACTACTTCTGCTTCTGGCTTTGCTTTGAATCTGAAGCCATTGACTACAACTGGTGCCATTGGAGCTGTCACCTCCACAGCTGCCATAACCACAACCACCACAACCAGGTGGGTGTTTTGTGACCATTGACCATTTCCTGCCTGGGGCAGGAGCAGCTGCAGTGCTCATGCTGGGATCTGGAGGAGGAAGGGGAAATGAGTGAGTGTTGTGCTGTTTCTCTTTCCTCACCTTGTGTCCTGTGCTGCCCCTCACTCCCTCTCAGTGCCCCCCCAGTGATGACTTATGCCCAGCTGGAGAGTTTGATAAACAAGTGGAGCCTGGAACTGGAAGACCAAGAGAAGCACTTCCTCCATCAAGCTACACAAGTTAATGCCTGGGATCGGATGCTGATAGAGAATGGAGAGAAGGTGAGCTGACCTCCAGTGGAACCTCCTTCTGCCTGCTCAGGTCCTTAAAGGCCTCAGTGATACAAGCCATCGAGTAGGACTTCCCACCTGTAAAAGAAAGAGATGGGAGCTCCACCTGGGTGCTTTTCACAGACTCTCTGTTTGTGAGCTTGGAAATGTGTTCTGTGACTTTGCTTTGTGATACCTTGTTTTCTTAGGGGGGATCATTCCAAGCTGAACCTCCCTTATTCCGTCTCTGGTCTCTAAATCTTTGTCACCACCTCTTGTTTCCAATGCAACTTGCATGGTGCTACTTTCTCCCTCCCTCCTCTCTTCTTTGGAGAGCTATTTCTTGGTTTTCAAGGTGTAATGAAATGTCTTCTGTTTCCAGATTACTTCATTACACAGAGAAGTAGAGAAGGTGAAGGTTGATCAGAAGAGGTAGGAGGCTGTGAACACTTGGAAAGATTTTGTTTCTTTTCTGCCTTTTCCTGCCTGGTTGTGTGACAGCTGTGCAATGTCTGCCCCATGAAAGGGAAGCAGTTGGCCTTTTCTCTTTGCAGACTGGATCAGGAACTGGACTTCATTCTGTCCCAGCAGAAGGAGCTGGAGGACTTGCTGACCCCTCTGGAGGAGTCTGTAAAGGAGCAGAGCGGGACCATCTACCTGCAGCACGCAGATGAGGAACGGGAGAGGACGTGAGGCACAAATCTGCTGGGGATGGGGGATGAGCACTGTGCTGTGCTCACAGCAGTCAGCAGGAGATAGACTGGCATGTGTGACAGGATTGAACAATGAGTGGCTGCTGTCACATATTTAATCCTCTTTTATGCGTGGCAGTTTAAATTTTACTCATTAGAAACTAGAACAGTGAGTGGAAGCCCTTGATTCAGCATGAAAAGCTCTTTGGATGTTAGTGTAATCAGCTGTCTAGGAAGAGGTTACTAATTTTGGCATAATCTCCAAAAATTTTTCTTCACTGACAGAAGTGGTGAGAGCAGAGTGAACTGTGTGGCACGAGAATACTTGTTAGCCTTTAGTGATGCATCATTGCTGGGCAATTAAAGGCAGTGTTTGTGTGGCTCAAGAGGTGAGGAATCTTGAATCCAGGTTCGCTGCTTCCTTCACTTCCCACAGAGCCTTCCAGGAAGTCCTCCACTCTCTTGCTTGTCTGTAGATCAAGGGGGACAGGGGTTGGCCCTTCATGTGGCTGATTGAGCCTCTCTGGGTGCTGTTCCCAGGTCTCTGTCAGCCTTTGCTCCAGATGTGGAAGCTCATTCTGATTGCCCATAGTTGGTGTGACTGCGAGCAGGTCTTCAAAGTTGTCCTCAAACATTCTGATCTTGGTTCCCGTGTGCTTTGCAGCTACAAACTGGCTGAAAACATCGATGCTCAGCTGAAGCGCATGGCACAAGATCTGAAGGACATCATTGATCACTTGAACACATCAGGAGGCCCAGCAGACACGAGTGACCCGGTAAATGCAAGCTTTTATTTTTATTTCTTATTATTTAATTGATCTTGACACTCTTTATGACTGTACTCAGAAACTCTTTTTCAGTAAAAATTTCCTTTTAATATTGCAGTCTGAGTTTTTCCACATCCATTTTGAATTTTGCCACATCAAGCCTAAGCTGACCAATGTTCTGCTGGTTCCTAGGTCTAAATTAAAACAAGCCAAAGCCAGAGACATGCCATCTAAACTGTGCAGTTCTCTTACTGCTAAGAAGCAAAGTAGCAGCATTGCTGCACACACTTCCCTGGCAAAGTGGCTGCTGCCTTAGGGAAGCTGTGCAAGGAGAAATTTGCCTTTGACTCCTCTTGGTGTTCATGCAGTCTCACAACTAAATTGCACCTTCTCTCTCTGCTCAGCTTCAGCAGATCTGTAAAATTCTGAATGCACATATGGATTCCCTACAGTGGATTGACCAGAACTCAGGTGAGATTTATCTTGCAGACTTTTGGGAATGTGAACAGAAAGCAGGAGCTTGTGTGTGAGTGTTTGTTCATCTCTGAATTCCTGAAGATGCCTGAGCAATCTTCCTCCTCACCTTCAGTGGCACTGTCCCTTCTGGGCTTGAATTCTCCTTTTCTGCCTGATTAGAGGCCTCTGATGAGAAGTTACAGCTAGCAACTGCTGGTGTTTTACCAAAAAAGCCCTTCTCTGTTTTTCTTTCTCCTGCAAGCAAAACTGTGCAAGGTTGTGGTCTGGGGTACTGTGACACTAATGCGTGTTTCTCCCGCAGCTGTTCTGCAGAGAAAGGTGGAAGAGGTGACAAAGGTTTGTGAGAGTCGCCGCAAGGAGCAGGAGCGCAGCTTTCGGATCACCTTTGATTGAAAAGATGAACATAAAATCTCCACAGAAAACACAAGTGTTTGAGGTCTGAAATGATGACCTGGCTTTGTTTCTTTTCTTAGAATAAAATATGTTGTTTGTTCCAAAAACACTTTTTGTTGTGTTGGACAGGAGAAGCTGAGAAACTGCCCGAAGTCTGTGGGGGAAGTGTGGTCTCTGTGCTTTAGCTCTGCCTGCAGACTGGTGAGATACACAAATGCTGCTTTAGAGGGCTCAGGGCACTCTCTGTCTCCAGGGGAGCCAGCAGAGGTGGAAGGCTCCCAGGACTGAAATGTGGACACAGTCCTGCAGCAGCAGAGTGCAGCACACTTGGCTTTAGAAGACATGTGGACTATAAACATCAATAAGCACACACTAAGGAAATACCACAATAAGTGCGTTTATTTATCTGGCCTCTTCTCTCCCTCCTTGCCCCAACGGTGTACAGGCAGTGCCCATCTCAAGAAGAGCCCAGTCCCCAGCTCTCCATCCCCCACTCTGAGATCACTGAACCTGCACGTTGACTCCCAACACTCCTTCACTGTCCCACGTTCAACCACAGCTTTCCCAAGCTCCCTGAAATCCACAAGGCTGCTGGTTCTTCATCCCTCACGTGGCAGGAGGGGTCTCTGCAGCAGAGGAGCTGGGGATGGCGGAGTCAGCCCCCGGCAAATGCTTCTTGCTTTTCCCGAAGGCGATCACCAGGGGCTTCCCCTGCAGCTTGTACCCATTCAGCAGCTGCAGGGCGCTCTGGGCCGACTCTGTGTCTGCAACGAGAGGGCACAGTGGGCACAGGGCACCCAGCACGTGTCCCTATAGGTGTTCCCATCTGATGGCCATTCAGCCTGCTCTAGTGCAGTGAGGGGACCCTCCAGCTCCCGTGACAAGCTGAATGAACACTGCACGTGACAGCCCGCATCACTTCTACCCTGGTACATGCTCTTCCCACCCCAGGAAAGGACCATGGCACAAAAGGAAGAGAAGGGAGTGAATTCCTCTGCTTCTCCTTGGAAAGCAGGCTTGGCAGCAGTGCAGTGCCCTGCAGGAGGATGTGACTCCTTTGAGAGCTAGGGAAGAACTGAGAGGCACGAGGCAGCAACTCACCAGGGAAGGTGATGAAGGCCTGATCCCTCATCCGGCCGCTCAGGAGGCGGAACTGGATCAGTGGGCTGTCCTCGTTCTGGAACCGAGCAAACAAGGACACCAGGTCCTTCATTGTCACTCGGGGGCCCAGGTTCTTCAAATATAGCACCTGTAACAGACACAGAGGGTCAGCGAGCCTTTGTCATGCGAAGATACCCTTCCTGAGTCTGTACAGCTCAAGGTGTGAATTAGCTCAACCCTCACACCCACATGCTAATGATGGCATTTAGAGGATAGGTGGGTGTACAGAGAAAGGCAGCTCTGAAGTCAAGGCATCACCCTGCTTGCCTGCATCAAGCACTGACAGTTTCAGTTTATTATAAAACAGTTCAGTTTATTTATAAACACAACAATCTCCAGCTACCAGGCACAGTTTTGAATAAGGTGACAGCAGGCCCCAGCCAGGCCTGAACAGAAGAGCCCATCTTGACAGGTGACCTGCTGGAGCCAAGGAAGGCTGTGCTCACAAGTACGTCTCTTTGCCAGGCTGGTGACTTCAGAGCCCAAGGTTCCTTTTCCCCCCAGAGTGGAGGCTGCTGTCCCCCTTGGCCCAGAGTATCAGCCAAGCAACCTAAAGGCGACAGCAAAGAGGAGCCTTTGCCTACTGACAGGGCTGCAGGGCATCCTGCTGAGCAAGGATAAATCCTGGTTCATCTCAGCTTACCTTGCTGGGCTCCCCTGGATGATAGGATGAGAACCTGGGTATTTTCCGGAGTTCTTCCTCTGAGAGGCGGTTCTTGAGGATCTCCTCTTCTGGGACAAACTCAACTGGCTCTTTGATAACCACAGGCCTTGGAGGGGACTGGTGGGGCTTTGTTGCAGAAACACTGGGACTTGCTGCCTGTTCTGCTTGCTCCTCCTGGTCTGGAAGTGAGGATTCCTCAGTCACAGCCCCCTGTGGGGTCGGGGACAAGCAGGGGTCACTTGTAGCAGACTGGACTTTTTCAGGGCACTTCTTGCTCAGCAGCTCTTGGTAAACACTCTCCAGATGAACCATGGGGTCCTTTTCATCTGTTCCCCTCTTCTGAGTGTCATCTAATTCATAACAGAGATATGTGGTAACTATCACCAATAACCTGGAAAACACACAGACTGCAAGAAGAGACACAGAAAGGAGAAACTGTTTCACCCCAGCCTCTGTGCCTAGGCTCTGCAGGTTGTTTAGAACAGGAGCAGACCCAGCAAATGCTGGTACCCCAGCTCAGGATGAATCTGCTGAGTATAGCAGCTCTACCTATGTTACATCAGAGCTCTTTCCTTCAGAGATGCCCTCACTTGCTTATGTGCAGCCACATTTCAGCACTTTCTAGTGACTCCTTCAACACACCTTCCTCCTCTTGCATGTATGGCCAGGATGGGCCACGCTGCCTTCCTCTATCACTACATGGAGTAGAAACATTTTGCTTTCAAGGACACCAGATTAAGCTCCTGGTTTTAAAGAAGGTCCCTGACACAGGCTGATCAATGATCTCTTTTAATTCTCTTTAATAGAAATGAGGACAAACGTGACAGCAGCATCGCCCAGCCTTCAACTGGATCCAACTCCACTTCAGGGATGAGGCTTTAACAAGTCATTCCTCCTCTTACCTGCTCTGTGCCTTTGCTTCCTTCACCCCCTGCAGTTACCTCAGAGAAGGAACAATCTCCGGTCCTACACAGACACTTTGTGTAACTCAGAGACTACTAAAGCATCACCCAGGCTCTTCTCCCACACCCCGAGCTGCTCTGCACTACATGCAACACATCAAGGAGATCCACGCTCTCCAGAAATGAACTTTAAAACCTCTATATTAAACCCTTCATAGAACCAACTGTTTGTCTGCTCCTGTAAGAGAGGAAAATATCTCCTCCCACACAGTACCAAAGCAGAACCACATCTTCAGGGACAGAAGGCCAGACAGAAATGTGTCGGGCTCCCACACAGCCTGGCTCGGTGTGCTGGAGCCAAGAAGAGCCCTTGTTGGATGCCAGAAACCTGGGGTTTTTGAGTTTTCGGTGCTTTCTGGCACTGACCCTCTGGAGAACACTGTTTTTGACCTAAAGCCTTGGAGAAAGCTTCTAAATATGAATAATAAAGTTTAAAGGTGTGTAGTTAAAAGTGTGTGCTTTCACATAGTAAAAAGTTTTAAATTTAAGGTTTTTACAGCATAGTAATAGGTATGGAACAATATAAAAGATTGTAGGTGGTGTCTTTTTCAGTGTTCATCTTCCTTCTCCTTCATAGGTTTCAAGTAGTAGTTTCTGATTAGCGAGTCAGTGTCACATTAAAGGTCATAGAAATTTAGTTATCCAGTTAAAAATATAAATAATGTGTTAATTCTCTATTAGACTGTTTAAAAGACCTTGTAGCAGCTGAATCTTCCTCCATTTTCCTCGCTTCTAGCAAGTAACTAAAATGCTGTTGAACGCTCTGTACTTTCTAATAAAATTGAATAAACAACCAAGCCCAAACAGCCCAAACCAAGCCCAAAGCAGTACAAAACGCCCACTGCTATTACAAGCCCAGAGCCCACGGACCTTCGTGGTAGAGGGCCCGGAGGAAGGAGTGTCTGTCTGTTCCCTGGAAAAGGGCGTTCTCGATCTCCATCTCCCGCCGGCTCAGCTGCTTGCTGCCGGCAAACCTCTGCGGCAGCGCCAGGATGCGCCGGCGCTCCTCCAGCTTCTCCTGGATGGCATCGAGCCGCTCCTGCGTGGCCTCGGGGGCTGCCCCCAGCCCAGAGCCCTGCAAAACAAAACAGCACGACTTAGCTCAGCAATGGCACAGCTTGGCTCAGCAATGGCACGAGTTTGGCTTGGCAATGGCACAGCTCGGCTCAGCAATGGCACAGCACGGCTCAGCAATGGCACAGCTCGGCTCAGAAATGGCACAGCTCAGCTCAGCAATGGCACGAGTTTGGCTTGGCAATGGCACAGCTCGGCTCAGCAATGGCACAGCACGGCTCAGCAATGGCACAGCACGGCTCAGCAATGGCACGGGTATGGCTTAGCAATGGCACGGGTATGGCTTAGCAATGGCACGGGTATGGCTTAGCAATGGCACGGCTTGGCTCAGCAATGGCACACCTTGACTCAACAATGGCACAGCACGGCTCAGCAATGGCACAGACTGGTCCTCCTCAGAGCGAGTCAAATGTCACAGCCCAGCCCTGCAGTGGGTGCAATGAGGAACCATCCCCCAGGGCACCAAGAGGTTCCTGTTACTGCAAGGGCAGGACACATACAACCATGCAGCAAGCTCAGCTCTTGAGGGAAGTGGAGAAACAGCTCCTTTCTCGTGACTTGTCTGTGCTGCTTCCCTCTCACTCTGTCCCTGCTGCCTCTGGCATCTACAGCCATTTCCCACAGCCACCTTCAGTGACTGCACAACCATCCTCTGGCGATTTTTTCCCCACACTACAGCATCCCCGAGCTCCAGCTTCCACCAAGCTCTTAGTCTGTGACCCTGAGAACCTTATTTGCTGAAAAGTGGACCCCCAGCTGCTGCTTGGCACCCGAGGGGATGTTTATGCTGAGGAGTAAACCCCAGCAAACCCTGAAACCACCCTCACAGCTCACCTATAAAAAGGGAGCATCTCTGGGTAAACAAACCTCACTGTACGGCCCACCTCATGCTGTCAAAGGACAGAGACACACCTCAGCTGCTGAAAGGGCATTTCTGTTCCCCCATCCACATCGATCAGAATACAGAGAACACACTTTTATGGGGCTGTGGGTGGATTTTCTGTTCTCAAATTCAGTTTGAGAATTAATGTGGCAGATCCTTCTGCCTCAGGCAAGACATCAGGCTTTCTCCCTGCACTGAGCACAACCTAACAAAGTTTCCCATGGTACCTCTGCCCCATATCTGCACAGCTTCTTCCATTCACCATTTCACAGCTTCCCTGAGGCACAAAAGGCTGTTTATATGGAAAAGCAATTCCCGGAAATCATTTGTTGTACTTTGTTTTCAAAAAAGCTGCCACTTAGCAG